GCTGGGCACCGGGACCCGTCCGCTCTCCTCGGGGACCCAGGGGCCGAGCTTCAGCACCCTGCGAAAGATGGTGGCGGGGTCCGGACGTGCAGCGCGCGTGGCTTGGCCCTTGCGAGCCACTGTCCCCGCGCGGCACGCGCCCCTCTCGCCACCGCAAGGGCCCCGAGCCCCTTCCGATCTCCTTGCTGACTACACTGCCGCACCCCAGAGGTCCCGCGCGGGGAAGCGGACAGTACCTGAGACCGGAGGCGCCTCCGCCATCCCGTGCTGTGCCGCAGCACCTCAAGCGAGCCCCGCCACCGAGCGAGCGCTGTCACCTGGTCACGTGTCCCGGATTTCCGGCGCCGAGAATGCGCTCCTGCGCGCGTGTGGACGGCCAGGGGGGTGGTGCCGCTCAAATAGACGGTGGAGTGGCGCGTTTGGGACGTCAGACAAATGCGACGCGCCTGGGCGGAGTCGGGGGGACGGGCGGGTGGCTGCAGAGGGCTCGAGTCGCGGGAGCTGGTGTCCTCCGGTTGCAGCGCCTTTTTTCATGTCCTGCCATCTGCCCAGCTTTAAATGGCCATTTTGCATAAAAGGTAGAACTCCTTCCTGAATATGCATCGTGTCTCCCTCCTACAGGACCCTTAAGGGCAGCCTCCATCAGGCTCTGGCCAGCATCAACAGGAATCTCTAGTTTGAACATAGAGAAAGCAAGCATAGGGGACAGGTGGTTTAGAAGTTGACTTAGGTGTTACCGGGACAAGTATCGCCTTTTGTCAACCTGCTGGTGAGCTAGTCTCTAGACACCACCACCCGAGTAGTCTGGTTGAACCATGGAGAATAGGTTTCCTGTACCTTTGAAATCTTAATTTAACAATAGCATTAGGGGAAAGAAATCTGAAACATGGTTTTCATTACCTTAATTCACTTTCTTATACCTTTAAGGCTGTGATTTACAGACCTTGAAACACTTTCTTGGACCCTCAGAACTTAAGCTTCCACATCCTCCATCTAACCACTTTCCACACGGTAGTTATTACTGAGAGCAGTCAGCAAGTTCCTGGAGAACTTGTTCTGTTTTGCTCTTCTTTCTCTGTCACAGTCAGGTGGCCAGCCTGAGACAGGACAAAGATTTTGGAGGAAACCTTTATAAACAAACGTGCTTGGGTCCAGAGGAGGAGCCATAACCAAACCTCAGAGCCGGCTTTCCAATAAAGGGGAACAACTTTAATATTAGCCACACTCAAAAGACGTTTGAATCCCTGTTAAGCTGAATCCAGTGACTCGAAGGCTCGGAGATAAATTCTGAGCCCTGGCCATCAAAACAAGCAGCACTAGCGGTGGTGGCTGGCAGCTGGCAGAGGCAGAGAAAGCAAAGCCAAAACCAACCAACACAGACTACAGAAAGCTTGCAGACTCAAAGGAGACCAGTCAGAAACAAAACGTGTGGTGGTCACCATTATTCATACATTCAGTTGAGCCTGAACCATTTCCATCTCTGCTTTCCTGTTTGCCATAAGACTTACGGACACACCAGAAAACACAGACCCATCTGCACATATAGGCAGACAGCAAAACTTTCCAAACCACCAGGACCAGGTGGCCTGGTGACATCGCTTTTGCCCTGGATGGGAGTGAAAGGGTTCTGTAGTTGGAGGATGAGAGGAGGATTATGTTTGGCTTTAGAAGGGTTTTGGTGTCCCATAATTAGGGATGCACCTGGGAGGCTGGCAAGGGGGATGGTGTGTCTGACCGCCTGATTTGGAGGAGGGGAAGGGTCGGCGAGCCTGGGGTCAAGTGGATTGGGGGAGAGAAGGAAATAGAGGCTTCCACTTTGGCTAAGAGGTGCCTTCTCAGCAAGGGGAAGGATGGGTAAGGTGAGAACCTCTAAAGATACAACTAAGTGGTGGTGTTTGGTGAGGTTGGTAAGGCTGTCCCCTACCCCAACCATAGGGGAACAAGAAGAGGTGGGTCCCTAAAACTCCACCAAGACCAAGTGGGTGGCCCTGGTGTCCAAAAGGAAGGCGATGGGTCACCCTGATACTGTGATGGCTACCCACCTACCTGATATCCCACCATTGTACTTGACCAAAGCATTGACCTATGACTTCTTCCATTCTGCAATCATCAACGTTCCCATAACTTCTTTCTTCTACAGTAGAATGTGTCAGGGTAACCTTAAGCCAGCTTGTTTGTTTGTTTCCTTTTGTTTGTTTGTTTGTTTGTTTGTTTTTGTTTCTTTCTTTTCAAGATAGGGTATCTCTGTGTCACAGCCCTGGCTGTCCTGGAACTCACTTTGTAGACCAGGTCTCAAACTCACAGAGATCCACCTGCCTCTGCCTCCCAGGTGCTGGGATTAAAGGTGTGTGTGTGTGTTTCAGTGTACCTGTCTGAGTGTGTGTGTATGTACACCACATTCTGTCTAGGTGTTCTTGGAGGTCAGAAGAAGGCATTGGATCACCTGGAGCTTGAGTTACAGGAAGTTGTGATGTCAGGGAGCTGTTAGTGATTTTAAGTCATACACACACACACTCACACACATAATGTTTCAGAAAGATTATTTGTACATGATGAATTCAAAGAAGTAAAATCGTGCATAAGAGGGAGCAGGTCATTCATTCCAAAAGATTATATGAGATATATCTAGGCCAGTGAAGACTGAGAAGGGAACTTGAGAAACATTTAGGAGTTAAAAGCAAGGATTGGGGTCAGTGAAATAACTTAGGGGATAAAGGTATTTCCTACCAAGCCTGATGGCCAGAGTTCAATCCCCAGGACCTCCATGGTGGGGGAGAGAATTGACTCCTGCAGGTTGTCCTCTGTACCTCACATGCACACAGTGGCACGTGTGCCCCCATAATAGATAATGCGTTTTTTTTTTTTTTAAAGCAAGGCTTAATGGTTTATTGGCTATGTAGGATGAAGCAAGACGTAGGCATTGAAGACAACTCTAGAGCATTCTATCTGGATGATAGGGTAATGATTTCACTAGTTGGGAGGGAAAACAGCAGAGATTTGGGTCTAGAGAAAGTGAAGGGCTGTCTTTGCCATGTGACTATGAGGTGCTTGTTTGAATCTGGGACAGCCAAATCACTGACTGGCAAAGAGTTGGACATTTGCAGTTGTCAGGAACTACTAGATATCCACAGCTGGTTAAAATGTAAAGAATACGTGACCAGTCCCAGTGGGGTACATCTATAACACAATCTCTATACCTATGGGATCATTTCAGTAGAGGAAGCATCAAGATTTTAAGAGAGGACCAGCTGGATGCTTGCTGTAAGTTAGTGTCTTCTAGACAGGACAGAAATGTTGCAATCATGAAATTTTAATATGGTTGCCTAAACAAGACCTGCAAAATGACAGCTCCAGTTGACATACTACTGTGAATGGAGGAAATTTCACAAGGCTCCACCACTAGATGAGGATCTATAGATAGCATGGCAGCTAAGGAAGGGAGAAACGTTTATCACCAAGGATGAGTTCCCGACAGGTTATCCAATCTCAAGTGTTCAGCCCTAAACACATGTGCATGTGAGCAACACTAATGGACTTAGTAGGTGATACATATTTATGCAGGTGATCTTTATAGAAGAGGCCATGAGTTCAAGAGAGTGGGGGATATGGGAGGAGCTGAAGCAGGGAGATAGGGGTGCGAATCATATGAATATGGTGTACTCATACATAAAATTCTCAAGAAAAGTTTAAGAATAAAACAAGTAGGATTCTGAAACTCAGGAAGACTAGAGCTAGAAGCATGGGTTTGAAGGTCAGCAGTGAAGGTTTAGAGGTCAGCAGTGAAGGTCTGGAGGTCAGCAGTGGAGGTCTGGAGGTCAGCAGTGAAGGTCTGGAGGTCAGCAGTGAAGGTCTGGAGGTCAGTAGTGAAGGT